GTGGGGGGGAGCAGCGGCTGACGAGGACTTGGGTGGGGCTGAGGTGGGTGGAGGATGGATCTCAGAACACACAGAGAGAAGGCCACGCTGAGAGTGGGGTAAGTGTGGGGAAAGTGATGACAGATCACAGAAAAAAAAATTTGATTTATATAAAGTAGCCCAGTGCTGCAACCCGCTGTACTTGCTTTAAATCTGAATGAAATCTATGATTTACTTTCTGTTTAGTTAAAAATGACCATGGATACTGTGAAGAGAATGAGCAGAAGAGTCAAAAGCCAAAAAGGGACAAGGAGGGATTTTGAGGAATTCAAAGAGAATGTTGTGAGGGAAGACAGAGAGACACTGGTAATTGAGAAATACTTTGCTCATTAATTACATGATAGAGAAGGAGGCATCAAGATCAATATCCAGGTTCCTGCTGGAGCAGACAGCTGGATAGAGTTCAAGTTCCAAGATTCAGAAAACCACAGAGAGGGTGTGTGACAGAGGGGCGGGGTGCAGCACACAGGAGTAAGAGAAGATCAAAAGTTCAGTTATGACAGGACTGGAGATGGGTCAGTGGTTAAGAGCACTGGCAGCTCTTACAGAGGACCTGGGTTTAGTTCTCAGCATCCACATGGTGGCTAACAACTGTCTGTAATGTCAGTTTCAGGGGGTCCAATGCCCTCACATGGCTTCTGCAAGTATTGTGTAGATAGGTACACTTACCTACATGCAGGCAAAACACTCATACACATAAAAAATAAAAATAAATAAAATTTAAGTTCAATTAATAGAAGTATTCAGTTGAAATCATCTATGAAATATCGTCTGGAGACATCAAGTGGGCTATAGAAGTTCAGAAAAGAGTTAGTTCAGAAAAGAGTTATGAGCCAGAGATGTGCATGTGAGGGTCCCCAGCACACACAGGTTATTTGCAGCCATGGCTTTAAAAGAGCAGCGGATACAAAACCTGAGCTCAGATCATAGATGAATAGTAGAGAGTTAAGAGTAAGATAAGGAGGCTTGAAATTCGCTCACTCACTAAAGTGCTTGCCATACAAGCATAAGGATCTGAGTGTGATCCTCAAAACCTACACTTAAGAGCCGAGTGTGGTAGCACAGTTGCAATCTTAGGCCTGGGGAGGCAGAGACAGGCAGTCCTTGGGGCTCACTGACCAGTCAGCCTAGCCTAATTGGTTGGTTTCAGGCCAGTGAGAGACCCATCTCAAAAAGAGCAAAGTAGGGGCCTGTGAGATGGTCCAACAGGTTAAGGGCTTGCTGCCAAGCCTGAGAACCTGAGGTCTATCCCCACGGATCACATGGTAGAAGGAAAATATCAACTCCCAAAAGTTGTCCTTTGACCTCCATATGTACCCCCCGGAACATGCATGTGCACGTATGTACACACACTGACACACATACACACACACACACACACACACACACACACTCAATAATTTTTAAAGGCAAAGTTGATAATACTAGAAGAACAACCCCTGAAGTGAACCCCTGGCCTCTACTTGAGCCCAATAGGTGTACACACATATGCACCTACATACACAAACACACATTCATTCACATAGACACACAGAGTAAGAGAGAGAAAAACACAGAAGACTGTGAGCTGCAGGGAAAAGATAGAGGGGAAAAAGGAGAAAAGACCAGGAAAATTAATTATACTCTGAATTGAGTGCTACTCGGGAGTTCTGAAAAGCACCCAATGGCTGGAAAGTACTGAGTCTTCGGGAGTCTTAAAAGACTAAGGGAGTCCTTAAAAGGAGAAAAGTGGGGGCTGGAGAGATGTCTCAGCAGTTAAGAGCACTGGCTGCTCTTGCAGAGGACCTAGGTTCAGTTCCCAGCACCCATATGGAGGCTAACAACTTTTCATAACTCCAGTTCCAGTGGATCTAGTGCCCTCTTCTGACCTCCATGGGTATTGCAGGACACGGGTACACTTACATACATGTAGGCACTATACTCATACCTATAAAATAGAAATAATATATAAAAATTTTTAAAAACAGGAGAAAACTGATGGAGTAGTGGAGGATTAAGCCAACTGGAAGAGGAAGGATGGTTAATTTGCAAATTAAGAGACAGTATCTACTGTTTAAAATGATTGAAAAGTTTACTAGAAGAGATAAAGTATTAGTTTATCTAAATTGATAATATTCTAAAAACAATAATGGTAGCAGGCTGATAGTGAGGATGTGGTAAAGGTTTGTGGAAAAGGACTGAAGACTTGAGAAGGTGGGATGCGATGACACTTGGAGAATGTGCCAAAGAACTGGTCTTTGATGGGAGAAATTGGATGTTTTCAGTTTCTCATGGGGCAAGTGATGAGAGCATCTCTGAGCCACAAGGGAAGAAAACGGACCAGATATTTAAACAGAATTTGTTATGTCAAAAAAATGCTAGAATAGATTGATTTGTGAAATAGGACCAATTCTGCCAACCACTGCTGAGTTGCTATTTCAGTTTGGATATCAAAACTATGTAATGACATCATCTTGCCCAGTTTCTGTTTCTACTCTCCTCGTCTTCTTTTGGGGCCCCTAACCAAAGCCAGTTTCTGCTACTTTTCATACCATGTGATGAGAGACAATAATTAATTGCACCTGCCAACACCCACTAATCCCCTAACAGCTGCAGCATCTGGTCCATACTCCATGCCCTACAGTCGTCTCCTTGATCAGTTTGTCAGGAGGGATGGAGATGGCTTCTTGGCTCTTTTCTGTCAGTGTTGCTGGAGTTCCACCTCTACCTCAGATCTGGAATGAAGCACAGCTTTCCCTAGAAAGTCAGATTCAGCATTGGCCCAGCGTCCTTCACTTTTATATAAAATCTGATGCTAATGACATAGAGAGAAACAATACATGTGGGTTCTGGTGTAGGCAAGCTATACACAAAGATAAACACATACATGGTGAGGATGGCAGAGTAGTCACAGAGACCACAATGCCCTGGTCCTAGGTCCCACAAGATTTGCAGCATGACACAAACTGCAGTATGGTTACTACAATATGATTTAATTTAATAAGTAATTTCTGAGTAACAAAATACCAAGTACCAAAACGAGACATCTGATGCCTCCAAAAAAAAGTTTCTGATTGTCTCAATGTAAAGTCTTTGAAAAAGAAGGTAAGTCATTATCTAAGACCTCCTATATACTTCAGTCAGTGTGTGTGTGTGTGTGTGTGTGTGTGTGCGTGTGTGTGTGTGTGTGTGAGAGAGAGAGAGAGAGAGAGAGAGAGAGAGAGAGAGAGAGAGAAACACAATTATTGGCCTAATAATCAAATCTGTCTTCTACATTTTCCATCCCCATGCAAAGAAAAGCTCATCCTCTATTGCTTCTCCTTCCCAACATAATCAGATGGAGGAGCAGAATGTCCTGTTATATAAGAGATCGCTAAAGTGAGAAATATGAACGTCTTATGAAGGACTCTAATGGATAAAGCCAGGAATGTGGGGGAAAAGTAGAGAAAGAAGAGGAAAACAATGATCACGTTCTAGTGATGAATTAAAGCTGGGACTATACTTTGAAAGGAGGAGGTGTTGCTATATGGCAGCATTCACCTGCAATACTGAGCCCTGACCAGGGAAGGTGGGCTGAGGATACAGCTTTCTATTTCTTCTACCAGGAACTGTAAGGCAACCAGGGACAGGGACTATCAGCTGCTTCAGTGTGAAGTGCTTGTTGGCAAAGGAGGGAGGGAGGGAGAGAGAGAGAGAGAGAGAGAGACTAAGTCTGGCTTCTTACCTGAGTTCCAGAGATCCTAACTCAGGTCATCATGTTTGTGCAGCAAGTGCTTTTACCTGCTGAGCCATCTCCCCAGCCCCTGTATTTCAGATTTATACAACTAACCCTTTGACTGGTTGGGAGCTTCTAAAGAAAAACATGTGCATTATTCAAACAGGTTCTTTAGGCTGGCAGAGAATAGCTTAGAGTTTACAATGGAAGGACTGTGCTCTTTGATTCTGACATGCAGACAAGCAGGAAAATGAAGTAGAACAATACACCAGTTTCCATTTCTGACAATACAATTCTGAGCTCAGTCTTTGGCACTGAGATTGAATGCCTTTATTTACTGGTATCAAACAAATAGGAGCCTTAAAAGGAAGCCACATTTTAGTAGAAATTCTTTACACACTTGAACACTAGAACTTACTCAAACTGAAACATATTTTCTTTTGCGAAACATGACAGACAGGAAAGAATGAGTTAAACCTCGTCTGCTTTTTGCTAACTCAAACTGGAATTTTATTTTTAATTTTAGGCTTAGTTCAGCTGTTACTAAATCATAATGGAAAAGGAATGTATAATATTTCCAAGCCGGGGTTGGGGGAGAGCTCCTCACTGACAAACCAATGCTCTGAATTCTAAGCTCTGCAAGTAATTTTCCATATTTTCCCAAGTGGCTGCCAGCTAACATTCAAGCTGTGGTCTGAAAAGTACAAGCAAGACCTCATCACAGCCAAGTGTCACCTGTGACTGGTAGATATTTGTCACTTGGCAGTGTGTGAGAGACTCACCCAAAAATGCCAACACATATTTTTTTCCCAAGAGCAGTGCGCTTGCATCAGAGACAATAGCAAGGCAAGACAGGTGAGGTGAATGGAGACCGTTCCTTATTAATGAACTGAAAAGCAAATGGTAAGGAGGCACCTCTGTTTGAATGTGCCCAATCCAAGCCACTGGGCACCAGTGACAAACAAGCCCAGTATACTAAGCACAAAACCACAGGAATCAGAAGGGCAGAAAGGCTGAACGGAGAAAGCAACTCTCTCATCAAGCATGATCAGGCAGCCATGAAATACCAGTACTTTCAGCATCAGCTGCCCATACCTGGCAGTTCTCAGTTTGTGACAATATAGGCTCTTAGGACTTGTTTTTCTACAGTCTTATTATCCAGGAACATGACACACAAATCAACGTATTTCATTTAACATTTAAATTCAATTAATCGGGACCCCAGCTTTTCCCATTAAAAACTACATTTCAATATAATTTGTTTTACCTTGGTCTTTTCACCAACAATGTTCTTTTCGAGTTCTGCTATTTTCCGGTTTAGATGATCCAAAATCTCCTTCTCCTTCATGAGTTCAGTTGTTTCAGATTTCTGCTCTCCATCCAAAAGAGCACATTCCATATCCAACTAAGGACACAAAACAAAACTCAGAAGCATTTCACCTTCAGGAACGTTCTCCACTGCCCACTGCAGAGGTACATGTTTAACATTTTCAAAAATCTTTCTGACCGGTCAGATTGTGGGGCTCTCTAGAGAACTCATAAGAGACCCAGAATCCATGCCTAAGAAAGACAGGGAACCCATAATGCATTGGCTAAGAAAGTTAGTTTTCTCACCCCTTCATTTTTCTACTACAGCCCCTTTTCTGCTCTTTCCAGGGATAATTTGCCTATTTGCTTAGACTCTAGCCCAAGCATAAGCTAAGCTGGGCTCTTTGTCCCTACAGTCTGAGGAGTGAAAGTTAGCCCAGTCCAGCAGGAAAGCCCTGCCTTCCTAGGGGCTCCCACAGGGGAACATAAGATGACAGGTGACAGTCCCTTCCCCACAACTCTCAGGACTATCAGCACCATCTGTGAATGATGTCACACAGACCCCACCCCCACCACAGGCAGAATTCTGTGTTCCCTTTCACTCCATGATAGTAGCATTAAAAGGTACCATGATCGTCTATTACAGTTAGAGGACACTGCCTGTTCCCTGTTCTGTAAATCTATAGAAAGCTGGATTATGTTTAATTCATATATGAATCCCTTCATAGTATCTACATGATACCAATTCTTACTAAGAATGCTCAGAAAATGTTATTTTGATTTGAACTTGGTTTAATTCATATGTGAACCTCTTCATAGTATCTACATGATGCCAACTCTTACTAAGAATGCTCAGAAAATGTTAGTTTGATTTGAACTTGAACACTTCAAATACAAGTTCATTTAGCTGACAGATCCTGTGATCAAAAAGCATGAATCATGGGGCTGGAGAGATGGCTCAGTAGTTAAGAGCACTGGCTGCTCTTGCAAAGGACCCCATTTTGTTCCTGGCACTCACATGGCACTAACAACAGTCCCTTAATTCCAGTTCCAGGGAATCCAATGCCCTCTTCTGGCCTCCTCGGGTATTGTATGCACCTAGTACATTTACATTCATATAGGCAAAACACTCATACCCATAAAATAAAAATAAATGAATTAAAAAAATTGTTTAAAAAAGAAAACAGAGCCAGGTGTGGTGGTGCACGCCTTTAATCCCAGTACTCGGGAGGCAGAAGCAGGCAGATCTCTGTGAGTTTAAGGCCAGCCTGGTCTACATAGTGAGTTCCAGGACAGCTGGGGCTACAGGGAGGCCCTGTCTCAAAAAAAAAAAAAAAAAAAAAAAGAAAGAAAGAAAACATGGATTGTACTAATTAAAAATTAGAACAAAGTTTGTTAGATATAAAGTACATTAAAGATGCTTAATATGTCATTGGATTACAGAAAACACAAAGAAAAGGGAATATAAGTAAGGGTGCTCTATATATGATTCCCACTGAACAAATGTCTGTTCATGCTGACCTCTATACATTTGGCCTCCCAGACCTATGCCACAATGAGCTGAAATATCTTTAAGCTAATGGGAAAAAGGAAAGAGAATACAAAGTAGACTTCTAGTTTATACCTCTCTGGAGGATTCATCCATTTGGTCATTTATATCTTTGATTTTCTGTTCAAGCTCTTCAAGGTTGTTGAGAATCACCATCCGGGTATCTTCCATTGCAGCCAACTCCTGGGTCCTCTGCTTCTCACTTACATCCTCTGGGGTCTATATTAATCAACATAGAAATGGGCTAGTCACTCTTCAGTTCTAGAATTTTCCTATTTGATTTATAAACCAGCTGCAAGCCCTAGTGTTTCACACTCTTCACATCCATGTGAATGTAGGAAACATGCCTGAGGAGGCCAGCCTGAGCTACATGAAATCTCGCCTCAGTAAAACAAAACAAAACAAAATAAAAAGAAGCATGCCTGGAACTGTTTCCTTACTACTACGATCCATTTTGCCATCGAGACGATGCTGTCCTATGCAATTACGTTCCTAGGTGAGCTCCAATAAACCAACCTCAGCTGGCAAATTCATGTTTCCTTTATAGCTCACAGAACTCAGAAGCTATTGGAATGAGAAAGTTACAGTATGTAGAAACTAAAGCAACTTCTCCAGTGTTATAAAGTTGAGCACACACAGCAGGGAATTATAACTAAGGCAAGACCTTCGGCACGTACCTTTGGGGATCTCTCAGCATGCTACTACCTTCCTTACAAGCTCCATTTACAGAAGCCTTTTGAATCTCCAGCCATATTGTTAGGTCATGCTATGAGGGTTACCTGCAAATGAGTATTTGTCTTTATTTTCTTCTAACATAGTATGAGGACCAGTTTAATTTTCAGTGTTATTTGTTTTCAGAACAAATGCACATCAGTTTGGTAATGACATGTCAATGTAAAAGGGCACATTCAATACGCTAGTAGGCAGCCCAGCTAAGAAAATTCTTGAAGAGTCTTCATTAATAGTTAAAAAGAACATTCATGGGCATGGGTGGAAACATCTATAATCCCAGTACTTGGGAGGTAAAGACAAAAGGATTGCTGAAAGTTCAAGGCCAGCCAGGCTACATAGGCAGACATGCCTCGATAAAACAAAAGAAACAGCATTCAGATTAACCAAATAATTACTTCAATTAGTATACTTCACTGGCTTAATTTATTAGTTGTCCAATCCTGATAGAACATCATCTCCCATCCTGCATTCTTTATCCATATTTATTCCTTTCCCTACTTTGTAGCTCCATAAGGATATTAATGAACAAGAATTCAGTATCTCAGGTTGATTAGAATGAAGGCACACAGGCCTTCTGAGGTTTGACATTTAGGTTTTTGTCTTCTAAATCCAATACCTTACCAACTCATAATACAACTGCTGACCTTTTCATCACAAACAATGAAGTTGTGTGTCTCAACGCTCAGGTGCTTGCTGGGAGGAGTGTCTATAACAGTGAATGGCATTCCAAAATCACTGCCCAGTAATCTTAGCAGGAAAGCCTTGGAAGGCCAGTATCCTGTTGGGTCAACATTGTATATTAGGTTTCTATTTCCAATGTGGTTTAAAAATATCTCTGTCACTGGTGGAAGCAAAACATTAAGAGACAGCAAAACGAATGAACCACCTGCAACCTGTCCATTCTGTAGGCAAGGCATGAAGATAAATAACAGTGGAAATTCTAAGTGCTTGCATGACTCAAAGTTTTTTAAAAAGTTTGCTGAGTATATTTAATAAATAAGGGACTGTTAGAGCAATAAATCTCTTCTAGGGAACATATATATAAGATTTTTTTGGTTCTTGCTATATACAAAAGAAATACATTCAAAAGGCATTTTAAAACAGAATGCTTGATGATAGAATTGAATGAAAATATTATAATGCCATTGATGAACAGGAAAACCAGTAAAGAATCAAGACAAAGCAGAGGAAGATGCCTTTAATTTTATGGTGATCAAAAAAGAAAAAATTTCAGTAAGCACACTGCACATGTATGTGCATCAGCAAATATGTTGAGGTAACATGATCTACACATCAACAAATATGTCATCTGTGAGGTAACTTGGTCCACACAAAGAAAGGAGAGCAGGTAGGACAGGACAATTTCCACCTGACTCTTTTTTTTAAATATTTTATTTAATATTTTCAATTTATGTGTATGCAGGATTGACTGCATGTAGGTAAGTGCACCGTGTTGTGCAATGCCCACAGAGGACAGAAGAGGCTGTCAGAGCCCCTGGAACTGGAGTTATGGACTCTTGTTAGCTGCCATGTGGGTGCTGGGATTTAAACCTGTGTCTTCTGCAAGAACAGTCAGTGTTCTTAACTGCTGAGCCATCTCTCCCACCCCCACCTGACTCTTTTTAAAAAATATCTTTTTGTTCACTGTTTTTATTTTATGTGTACGAGTGTATTGCCTACATGTAGGTAGGTACACCAGTGTCGTGCAGTGCCCTCAGAGGTCAGAACCTCCTGGAACTGGAGTTGAGGACAGTTGTTAGCTGCCGTGTGGGTGCTAAGAATTGAACCCGGGTCCTCTGAAAAACAGCCGAAGCGCTTAACCACTGAGCCCTCTCTTCAGCCCCCAACTTTTTTTTTTTTCAGCTCTTGTGCCTGTGGAGGTACATAACTTTTCACTTAGATAGAAAAATTTCCAAAAATATATGTCAGGAGCTACCACTGAGTCAGCTTTTATCTCAGGTGCAGTGAATGGCTTCACAAAAGCCATTAAAATGAGCATACTTGCAAGGTCGTATACATCTTTTTCTGTTAGGTAAAATAAGTTCTAGGCTGGTAAATCTAAGGTTTCCTAGATATTATTAAATTCTTTCTTTAATTAAGTAAATTTGGAGTATTTTTAGTAGTCTTCTCTTCCCCATTTATCAATAAACTGAGTAATAATACAGTACGTTGTTAAGCTAACAATCCAGGGGCAAATTATTGGGAAAGGAGCATCCAGAAGAAGGCCAGGAAGCTTAACAGTTTAAGTCTTCTGTCTCTGTTCTTGACTCAATGATACACATATTTCTTTGAAAAGCAGTGAGTGAAAACCTATCCCTGGGAACCCACCAGCCTCTCATTTGCACCCTAACGTGTGTTGGTGACAATCTGTGATGCCCTTGATGCTTCCTGTCTCTAAGGATGTGTCTGTCTCCTGGGACAAAGAATACTGCACCTCAGTTCCAAGATCTCCTATTCCACAAGAGCTTAGTTGAGCAATTTAAAACATCTGCCAGGATCTGCTTATTTAGACAAGCTTTCTTGTCAAAGCCTTCTCCCAAAAGATAGTTTTTAGAGAGAACATGGTGCTCAACAAATTTAAAAATCAGGCAGAACTCCATAAAGGTGATGAAATTTTAAAAAAAAATAGATGGACAGTCACAGTTTTCTAAGGACACTGGACGGCTGATAACAACAGCCCAAAGCTTCAAATGGGTCATTTCCTTTACTTGGGTACCTGGTAACATTTGACTCCTCACTCCTCTCTGCCTTTCCATCTTAACTGCCCTGATGCTCTGACACTCACCACGTATTTAACCATCTACAGTCCTGATATATGTAAGAGGAGAAACTCAGTAGATACAGTAGGAACTTCTGACCAGGAACGTTTAGCATGAAAGTTTTTTTATAATTAAATTAAAAAATAAAACCAAATATATAAGCTTTATGTAAGCTGCCTCGAAATAATGTTCCACATGAAAACCAGTAAAGTGCTTGCCTTACCCCCCACACTAAAAAAGAAGAAAGAAAATGTATACAATTATTGACGGTGTCGCTGTTTATTTTTTTAAAAAAGAAAAAATTGGAATTTAGCACTAGTAGGTTTTTAAGAACAAAGTCAAAGTAAAAAAATAACATCAAAAATATGAAAAGGTGCCTACTTTATGCATAATTAAAGACAAACAAAATACCTATCAGTTTGGAAAATTGCAAAATTATGACAATATACTACCTTAGCAAGTGCATGGGGACCAAATTGTGCCCTTGAATTGCTAGCAATAATGTTAGAACTATAGCCTTCAAAGAGTGCAGTTTGGATATATTTATTGAAATGAACAAGCTGGACATAGTGGTTCACATCTGTAAACTCAGTATTCAGGAGGTTGAGGCAGAAGGATCATCAGTTCCAGGACAGCCTGGGCTGCATAGTGAGACCTTGTCTGGACAAAACCAAAACCAAAGCAAACAAATGAACAAATAAATAAAAAAATATACAAACTCTTTAACTTAGCAATTCCACTCTGAGTAAGTAAACCAACAGACACTGTTACACAAGGACACAAAAACATATATTCTATAATGAAAATATGGTACATTTACACAATAGAGTTCTACTCAAATGGTAAAGAAAGATGAAATCATGAAATTTGCAGGTAAATGGATGGAACTAGAAACTATTATACTAAGTGAAGCAACATCAACTCAGAAAAACAAGGGACATATGCTCTCTCTGTTTTTGGAACTTAGCACCAAATCCTTATATGTGAGTATATATTCTGATACAAATGCTGGAGTGAGAAAAACGGAAAGAAACCATGGAGGTAAAGGGAAGGAAAGGGCCCAAGAAAGGGGATAGTAGGAGACAGATGTTACCAAGGGGGAAATGGGGAAAATTGGGGTATTCAACTGGGAAGGGAGGAGGGAAGGATATGCAAGGAGCCATGGAGGTGAGGGGAAGCTCAACAGAGGCGGAGATGATGGGAGATGGGTATTATTATCAGGGGGAAAATGGGTAAAATGGAGGTGCTTTAACTGGAGAAAGAAGGAAGTAGTTGGACAGGGAGACAGAGCGAAGAGACATAAATAAGGCTTAGACAGTGTAAAAAACCAGAAGGAAATTAATTGGCTCAAAAATGTACTGAAAAATACACATACAATATCTGAACATGAGTGCATGTGTATATCGAGTTCCACAATGGTCACACACAGAGAATGAGTGTCTGAGAGACGCCTAGACCTAAGTGACACATCTACAATGGAATCTCTACACCTAAGGCTTATGGAACATAGTGTAACATAGGGAGTAGAGAGAATACTAATGGATCTTTTAGTTTTCACCAGGGAAGCTTCTATCATTCAACAGAGTACAATGCACACAGAAAGCCACAACTGGCCAAAGTGTAGAGAATAAGAGACTGCAGAGAGTGTATCCCTGGATAGGACTCCTCCTGTATTGAACCTCATCCACCCATGGCTCAGGGATCATTGCAGCAGAGGGAGTGTGAAGAGCCAGGGTTGGTACATGATTGTGGGGAAACAGAATCTTCCAGGCCTCTGGAAACTTGCTCTTATGAACTGACAGCAATGGTGTCAGCATGCACAAGACCCATGCCACCTGAGACAAAAAAACAAGCATAGAGCTGGGGAAATGGGCAGCAGGCCCCAACCTTAGCTAAAGAACTATTGGCAGTTCATTATTGGTAGGTGAGGGGGGCGTTGATATTTAAGGGAGAGGCTCTAGATAGGCTGACTAGACTCTAATAGATGAACTTGCACTAAAGGACATCTGGGTACACCAACTTGACTTGATAGGTCTTAATATATATGATACAATGCATGAAATCCCATGAGGGAGGCTGTGAGGAGATGTGGATAGAGAAGGGGATATAAAGATGACTAAGATGTTTTGTATGAAACACACAAAAATTCAATTAAAAATATACATTAAAAATATATCCTAGATGATTACATACAGATTCAATTAGCAAAAACTGGGAAGAATATACATGGTACTTCTACTGACTCTAATCCAAACCTTAATCCCTCAGAGGAATGCTAATTGAAACCTGCACAGAGATTCCATCTCACCCTTGTCAGAATGGCCATCATTAAGAAAGCAGCAAGTGCTAATGTGAGGATGTGGTGGTGGGGTGAGGGAGAAGAGGCCTTTACACACTGCTAGAGGGAATGTAATTTAGCTCAGCCTCTCTAGAAATCAGTATGGAGATTGCTCAAAAAGTAGAACTCCCATATGATCCAGCCATCCGACTCCTGGGTATAGACCTGAAAGAATCCAAGTCAGAGGTAGCTGAAAGATAGCTTCACCTTCATGATTACTGGTGCATTATTTATAACAGCTAAGTTATGAACTCGCCCTTGGTGCCCATCAACAGATGAAAATACAAGGACGGGGTTGTATAAATGCACACTGGAGCATCATTCAGCCAAAGCTATGTGAAATTCTCATCTGCGGGACAATGGGTGGAACTGTAGCACATCATGTTAAGTGAAATAATCCAGTTCCGCAAAGTCAAATATCACATTTTTCTCTCATATATGGGATGGGGGAGACTTAAGGATGTAGAATGGGCAAAGGGGAAGGGATGAGGCAGGGCAAAAGAAAGGGTAATAAAGATGATTATGATCAAATTCCATCATACACATGCATGTTAGTGTCACAATGAAATTTGCTTTGCTTAATTAATATATGCCAATAAAAAAGAATCCAATGACTAACAAAATTTCCACTAGAAATTTGAAAAAAAAACCAATAATAATAATATGATGTGCACTAATGTTCAAAAATAGCCCTTTAACAGTGGGGGCCATGACGAACAGTATGAGTGTGAGTGTGTGTGTGTGTGTGTGTGTGTGTGTGTGTGTGTGTGTGTGTGCGCGCGCGCTTGTATCTATGCACAGAAAATACAGGAGGTCAGGCTAGACGGCTATGCTTAAGTTTACTCCTCAGTTGCACAGCTGAGGATCAGAGAGAAGAGAAACTTCTTTCTACTCTGAGGCTGCTGCAGTTTCACAGTGTCAATGTAGTACTTTATACTAGCCTCTCTAGTTTGCTACACCTTGTTATCTAACAGCTCTTCAAAGGAAGTTTCACCCCAAGCATTCGGGGGAAATGAGTGGGAGGAAAGGCTAGCTTCCCAGTGAAAGCACATGCATGGTCCTAGGCCAAGTGCTGTTCTGCATTACCTTGGGTAGGATACTTAGGTAGGAAGACTCGTTGGATGCTTTCAGAAAGGCAGCCGATGGTGGTGGGGGTGTCCTGGTGAGGTCACCAAGAAGTTCATCGTTCCTGCTGCCCCTGGGGGTCAGGAAGCTGGTGTTGCTCTGACTGAGGCTCCCGAAGCCCGCCAAGTCAGCATCATGGAGAGAGCCCTTCCGTTGGCATCTGTACCTGGCGTCCGGGCACACCAGAGCCTCCTCAAACACAGACTCCTCATCTGACAGCTGAAGCTTCTCCAGCTCCTTGTTGATTTTCTGCACATCAGCCACCGTGGTGCCAACGGAAAGGCAGCGACTGTCGGGCTTCGTGTACTCAGCGCAGAGACTGAGGATGGTTTCCAAGCGCTGCCGCTCCTAGAGCACAGAAGGAGGCAAGGTCAGCAAGGGCGCAGCTCCAGGCAGACTGCAGAGCAGGTGTCTCATTCACATATTGGTCCACAGACACTTGCCAGTGATGGTTTCCCATAGTCATCTTTTTTTTAAAAAATAGGGTATCTTGCTGTGCAGCCTTAAACTGCCAATCCTGCCTCAGTCTCCTGAGGGCTGGGATTACACACATGCACCACTTAGGACTGGCTTCCAGCATCTTCCAAGGATACACTTAAGGATATTTAGATGGACCTGATTACAATTCCTGGACAGTGCTGGCTATCCCCTTCACCTGTCAACTTCAGGGCTGACCCTAGCATATATCAGCACCCAGTTAGCATCTTAATTTATCAAGATTCCAAAACTTCAAAGATTTTTTAAATCTCTATTTCTTATCCAGCATGTTTCCCTCCTTCTACTAACTGACCTTCAACAATAGCTAGCTTTTTCATTTCAAGAATCCAACACATTCATACTTAAAATTGACATTCTAACTTCCTAGAAAATGCTTTTCTATTCTTAGACATATAGAGAGAAAAGGGCATTTAAAAAATTTTAATTTATGGGTCTTAGCTGTGTCTATAAAAGGCATGAATGTTGCAATGAAATAAAGAACATTTCATGTCAAGTCCAAATGGGAAAACATCATTATAGCTCAATATCTAAAATCATTAAACAATTGATACATGTACTTGGAAAATCAAATGCTAATTCATTCATTAAAAAAAATAACATACAAGCTGGGTATGGTGGTATAGACCTTCAATCCCAGGACTCAGGAGGCAGAAGTCAGTGAATCTCTGTGAGACTGAGGACAGCCTGATTTGCATAGTGAGTTCCAGGCCAGCTGGGGCTACAGGGAGACGCTATCTCAAACAAACAAACAAAACAACAACAAATATAGGCCATTGATGGCTCTCATAGTACCAATGACCAACCCCTCACTAAACTGCATATGTAAAACAAAGACATCTATGATTTTAAATAAATTAATTACATAGTTATGAGCAGCAGGAAACAATTTGCAAAATTGTTCTCATAAGTTTAGACAGCATTGCCTGGGGTGGAAGGCCTTCATATAAATCCAAGGCCATGGTGAAAACAAGAACCAAAACCCAAAGCGGTCTGCTGTGATTACATTCTATCACACTGGGAAGAGACTTCAAAAGCCCCCCATAGAAAAACACTTTACAAACTGCTGATTAGCAATAAAACAGGAAAATACTCAGCACATTGGGGCGGGGGGCTTGTTTTCATTCTGATTACAGCTAATTTGAGAAGACAAAATTCAGAGTTAGTTCTTCGTTAGTAGAGGCAGCAGCAAACACAAAAGTAACATACAAGTTTAGCTCCCTGGTTTCCATTAAGGGCATTATTTGACAAATTAAAACTCATATAAAGTATATCTGACATATGTGTGTCCCTTGAAGTATCTCCCCTTCCTCCCAAAGGAGCAATAACTTGATCAAAAAGTCCATTGAAGTACCCCCATAAACTCCTACCTCCCTGTCACTGCTTGAACTTCTGGGCTCCAGCTGCAAAACAGTCCTCATGGCCTCTTCCCAGGCAGGCACTCATAGCTGTACAACCCGGGTCCTTTCATGGAGGAGCCCAGGCCCTTATTTATCTCTGCAGCTGCCACCAGCTGCCAAGCCCTACCCACCTCGGCTTTATTGGGGAGGGAAGAGGGGGGACATAGCATCTATTACTTTATTTTAAACTTCTCCAATAATAAAGAAAAGTCTGAAAAGATGTGTGCAAAAACACCCTGTGAGGACATTGATGGGAAGAAGAAAAGAGACAAAAAGTTCTATCTTACCCTTTCTCTACAGCCTCTGTATTAGGGACTAATCCCCAAAGAAAACTCCCTTTCTGCTGTTTAGGTTTTAGTTGAAGCATCTAAACTTGGTCTTCACCTTCATGAATCACACAGTATATACACACTAGCCACGGCCCCGTTACATTTGTGGTTATCTGAAAGTTAGCAGTTTTTGTCAGGTCCCCAGTGAATGGCACAGGCTTCAAAAGAATCAAAGGTACGTCTGCCTAGACTGAAATACATAGCAAAATTCCTCCCACATCTCCTTCCCAAAATAGCTTCTTTTGCTGCCAGTGCTGTTGCTTAATTCCAGAGGGAATAAATGATCCCAGCCTTCAGACAGTCAAACACAGTATTCAAAGGCTTGTGCACAGGAAGTTTGGTCTACTGGTATGTGTGTCTCTATTCTTATCACCCCATTCACAGCCAATCTGTCCAGATTGAATCAGACACACATGCAACACTGCTGCCCATGAATTTAAAAGAAATTCAGGCAGTGCCGAGACACACTGGCCCCTTTAAAACGACACCAAAGAAAAATAAGCTGATTCTGAGAAGTGCGTCAGAGAAGGATCTGGAAGGCATTTCAGAAAGCACTTCAAGAAGCCTTTTAAGGAAAACCCTGAGAAGTGACCCTCTCTAGCTGCTTCTCCATTCAGCTCTCTCCACTCTGGTATCGGCTTCCTAGCCATCTTGTCAGGATCCTTCAACTTCCTGTGTGACCTCAAGCCAGGGGACAACCCCATATATAAGACTCAATTTTCCTTGAAGCTTTGCCTGGTTGGGCCGGCAAGGAGGTAGAACACTTTGAGATCACCAAATCTTACCCAATATCCCAAATCAGTAATTACCATTCAAAATGGCAGCCACCAGTCCGGAGGCCCACATAACTGATGCTAAGCATTTAGAAAGCAAGTAGAATTTCCTTAACAAAACTTTTTTTTTTTTTTGTCTCTTTTGAGACAGGGTCTCCCAGGAGCCCCAGCTGGCCTGGAGCTCACTATGTACACCAGGCTGGCCTCGAACTCACAGAGATCCTGCCTCAGCCTCCCAAGTGCTGGGATTAAAGGCATGCGCTACCACGCCCAGACCCAAAACGGTTTTTTTTCCTCTCTCTTCCCATTTCCCCTTTCCTCTACCTCTGTATCCTATGTATGTCAAAGGAAGTTTTGAAGGGGACACAATAGCTTAGAAGACACATTGGAAAATTAGTATGCAAATTTTTTTTTTTTTTTTTTTTTGCCCTTAGAAATAAAAAAGAAGAAAGAGTACTCGGGGAAGCTAATGAATTTTTCACTTCTGAGCTTTCTTTTTACATCAGAAAGATGTTTCTGACATTGTCTATTACAGGTTCACAGGCCCTAAAGGGGATGCTAAAACCATCCAGTACCCTGAAAGCAACATCAGCTGGTCCACATCACCGTACTCTAAATAAATTATGCATAAAACCATCTATTGACACAAGTGGAAATCTCAGATCTTTTTGTTAGAAAATATTGAATCACCCCTTATACAAGCTGAAGCCTAGGTCCTCTTCTGTGAACTAGGGTTGTGGTCCCTCCTGTGAGCTAGAATTGTCCCCTGTTGTAAATCTGGAGCTGTGGTCCCTTCCTGTGAACTGGGTTGTGGTCCCCTCCCATGGGCCTAGAGCTATGGTCCTCTCTAGTGAGCTAGAACTGTGGTCCACTCCCATGAACAAGAGCTGTGGTCCTTTTTTTGTGAGCTGGAGCTCTGGTCCCTTCAAATAAGCTTGAAGCTTTGGACCTCTACTGTGAGCTATAGTTTCATATTCCACTGGCAGAGCAGGGCAGAGCATGGAGGACATCCTGATGTTGGGCAGCAATTTCAGTCTTCTCTGAGTGACTACATTCCCCACAGCCACCTTCCCTGAAGTCTCAGGTTGTGCATGGCAGAGGCTTTGCCTCTTAGGCCTGAACAGGGGAGACCTGTATTATCTGGTCTTGGAAGAACTGATTCTCTGGAACAGACCTCCCACCTCCCCTGAGGCCCAGCTGTGGTCCTCACTCCACATGTGGGCCTAGATATCCAGGGTTGATGTTGGACCTCTCCCAGGCACCAAGAGGTTTTCCATTATTTTCCTATTGCTCTTCTATAGCCCCAGTGTGCCTTCACCTATGCCCAAACTGGTCTTTAGGGATAAAAATCACAGTCTAGGAAGTTGAAAAAAATTAATAGAAAGTATAATAAGTAAACTGATGTGATTCTCAAACTAAAAATATCTAATTTGTCTACTATAATTTTTTAATATTGTTTATGACAAAACTGTACTACTAAGCTTTAGTAATAATGTGAAATTTGTTACCATTCCTATGACGTGTTTGCCATTCACTCTCCAAATTCTCCAACCTATACAAAGTCTTTCAATGTAATCATATTATTTACTGAAGAAAGCAATGCTAGTAAAAATAGTATGTTGAATCAGTTATTTCATAGAACAGAAGTGTTACCTTCTAATGGTTAGATATGAGTTAGTTGAAGAAAGCAATTTTTGCTTTTCGAAAGACCTCTTTTGACTGATAGGTGTGGTTTAAATTTCTCTTTTGTTAATGCTAGTGCTTCACTGTCTCCATAATCTTGAATTTGGCAAAGATCTATTAAGTCACTTGCTTCCTAGTGATGTGTAAGGGATATGTGGATAAAAACGAGCCTTTCCTCATATCTGTGACAGGAAGTACAAATAAGTAGACTAGAAGGTACAGAAACAGTAATAAGAGAGGATTACAAAAAAACCTATGGAACAAGGATGGGGATGTAGCTCAGTGGCAGGACACTTGTCTTTCATGTATATGGCCCTGGGTTCAAGTCCCACAACTGCAAAATAAAAATGTGTGTTGAATCATCAAGGATACCTATGAATGTGTCTCCAGTGTTGGGAAAGTTGTCGACAGGGCGTTTCTCTGAAGGGACCACTGAAACAAGAACTCAGAAATGAAAAACATCATGGTACGCTCAGAGACCAACAGCTAAAATGTGGCTAGAAATGGTGGGGGGTGGTTTTCTGTAGGAAAGAGGGATCAAGTTCCTGCTCAGAAATGGGCTAACAGTCTCTCTATTTATATCAGGGCTCAAAGGATCCCACAGTAAACTTTTAAAATAGATCCATAGTGTGTCTCAGTAAGTCTCAAACTTGATCTAAACATGAGTG